TTCCGCCCCCCTGCCCCCCACCCCCACCCCACCTGCTGCTGGGTCCCATCCCTGTGCTGGGCACCCAGGGTCATTGCTGCCCATGCTGCCAGCTGCCTGCTGGACCGCCAGCTCCTGGAGGCAGGACCGGGTGGGCATGTCTAGAATGCCCAGGCCCCACCGGCCCAGAGCTCACGCTCAGCAGCTTCCCACGCAGGAAAACAGAGCGAGTGGGGCGTTGGCTCCAGCTCCCGACCTGGAACCTTCTGGGAAGACAAGCTCCCTGCTGGGCACAGGTAGACCCCTGCCAGCCCCTCTAGGGCCCGCTCCAGCCTTGTCACTTCAGAGGCACCGTCCCAGGCCCAGCCATCATTGCTCTCTCTCCCGGCAGAAGTCGGAGCTGGTGGCTCTGAATGAGATGCCACCGGGCCCAGCTGGCACTGCCTGGCCAGACCACCTCCTCTCCTGGGGAAGGAAGGGTGTGCTTAGCAAGTCAGCGGTGCCACGGCCGTGGGTGGCGGGTGGGAGGGGCGCCTGCTCACGTCCTTGAGCAAGGCCGTTTCTAACCAGCAGTAGCCATGTGTGCGCCGCCCTGCGACACCGGCTCTCTTCATTAAAGTCGTCTCCAGGGCGCCTCAGCATGGCACCACTTTCTCAGCTGTTGGTCTGAGCTACTGTAAGCGCCCACGTTGAATAAAGCGTCTTGACCTTAAAAGTAATTGAAGACAGCCCGGCTGGTGTGGCTCAGTGTTTGAGCGTCAACCTGTGAAACCAGGAGGTCACGGTTCAATTCCTGGTCAAGGGCACGTGCCCGGGTTGCCAGCTCGATCCCCAGTAGGAGGCGTGCAGGAGGCAGCCGATCAACGATTCTCTCTCATCATTGATGTTTCTCTCCTCTCTCCCTTTCCCTTTCTCTGAAATCAATAAAAATACATTAAAAAATAATTGAAGACATTTTGTCAAATTTGACACTGCCCGCTCCTTAACTGGAGCTGGATTAGACCTGGAAATCCAGGTTTGGGCACAGATTTAGCTATTAGCTGGGTCATTCATTATTCGACACTGAAAACACGAGACTGCGCTGGCTCCAGACCTTGCACCTCTGTGCCTCAGTTTCCTCATCTGTAAAATGGGGCTGACGGTGTGAGTGTCTGGAGTTGTGGGGCCTCGGGATGAGAGAAGGGAAAACGAGTAGCACAGCAGCTGGACGCACCGAGTGTTCCACAAATGATAGTAGGAGGAGCCGTGGCTGTTAACACAAGGAACATGGGAGCCTGGGAAGGGAGCAGACTTCAAAGTTAGGTATTTTGTGACTTTATGCCCATGGACCTCACTTTCCCCTTCTTGAAAATGGGGGTAAGGGCATCTACCCTACATCGGTGTTAAATAAAATTGTATCCATAAGAGGACGGGTGATGGTTTTGCAAAGTACTTTAGAGATAAGGCCCAGAGAGGGCCAGGCCATGCCCAAAGTCACACAGGATGTGTTCTGTATGATGACCCCACTAGGTCCTTAGCCTAGAGTTCCATGGGCGGGTCAGAGGGTCCCAGAGTGCCAATTTGTGAAGTTTAGTATCTTTCTTCTGGCGAAAATGTTTTTATTTGATTCTCAAAGGGGCCATGATCCCCCAAAGTTCAAGAACCGTGTCCTAATTGACCCCCTTCACTTCACTGGTGGAGAAATAGTCCCAGAGAGAGCAAGGTCACCTGGGAAGTAAGGGGCGGGCTAGTTTCCCCGGGGAGTGAATGGGGCCCTCAAATCCCGGGCCCTCCTTCTCCGGGAAGCCATGACCCTTGGGAACAGTCCTGCTACAGCACTTGTGGTTTTCGAAAGCCGCTTGCATCTGGGTGCTGACCTGAATCCACCCCATAGAGTCTTGGCTCCCGGAGGTCCTCAGGGTCGGCCACGTTTCGGGGGAACTGGGGCAGTGATCCCACAGTTTTAAGGTGAAGCAGGCAGCCCCACCCTGCTCAACACAGCATTTACTGATTGTGCTGGGAGGGGTCTGGGGAGGGAGGGAGTCCCAGCTTGAGTGACCGGGACGGGGATTCACTGGGTGGAGTGGGCGGTGAGTGTGGGTGCTGTGGGGCCTCAGCAGGAATCTCAGCGGGAGCTGCTCCTCCAGCCCGTCCTCCAGCCCGTCCTCCAGGGCACAGGGCTGCCCCTGTGGGCTTGGCTTGCTTTCAGCGGGGCCTGAGTTTTTGATCCGATCTCCATCTCGTTATTTCCTGCCACCTCAGTGCCGCCCGCCCGCCCGCCCAGCCCTCTCCCGGCACAGGATTTGGTTTCCGGCTTCCAGCCCGTGTTCCCAGCCCCAGCCCCCCCCTTTTCTAATCCTCAAAGCTGCTTCTGCAAATAATGCACGCACCACCGGGCTGGATTAATTAACTGCACAGAAATGATGGGGAGCCAGCGAAGGAGATAATTATGCAAAACAAAAGTGTCCGCTCACCAGCTTGCTCCTTCCTCCCTCTGCACTCTGGGCACTTGAGTGTGTGTGTGTGTGTGTGTGTGCATGTATCTGTGTGTGTGTGTGTTTATGAGTGTGTGAGCATGTATCTATGTGTGTATGAGTGTGTGAACATGCATCTATGTGTGTGTGTGTGAGTGTATGAGTGTGTGTGGGGGAGCATGTATCTATGTGTGTGTGTGAGTGTATGAGTGTGTGAGTGTGTGTGAGCATGTATCTATGTGTGTGTGTGAGTGTGTATCTATGTGTGTGTGTATATGAGTCTGTGAACATGTATCTATGTGTGTGTGTGAGTGTATGAGTGTGTGTGAGTGTGTGTGTGAGCATGTATCTATGTGTGTGTGTGTGTGTATGAGTTGTATCTATGTGTGTGTGTGAGTGTATGAGTGTGTGTGAGTATGTGTGAGCATGTATCTATGTGAGTGTGTGTGAGTGGGGATCCTTCCCTTTTCCCCGGATCTGCTTGGTGAATGAGCCCCCCCCCTCCTCCCGCAAAGCCTGTTCACAAAAGGTGAGGAGAGAGGCCGAAGGACGTAGGCCAGGTGGGTGATGTTATGGGTGGGGGTCAGGGTGCTAAGAGGAGGGGGGGCAGGGCAACAAGGACACACCTGGTGGGAGGGACCCCGGCCATTCCCTGGTGTGCTTCCTGCAAGGAGCCCCTCCCACGGGCCTGCTGTGTCCATTTCTTCCCGTCCTATCCTGCGTCTCCCTGCCTGCTCCTTCTCTCCACGCCCTCCACACCCTCCGTGCCCTGGAACCCCGGGAGCTGGGGCTGAGCTGGAAGCAGGCAGAGCAGACACTGTGGCCAAATCCCCACCTCCACTCGGCTGGCGCACCTCGGAGATAGAGGAGTTCTGGGGGTGCGTGAGGTCTCCCCGACCCCTGCACCGGGGGGATGGGAGGGCATGTGGGGCCTCACTCACTCCCTGGTCTCCATCTTTCCATGGGGGGACTGGGGTGTGCCTGGGCCTCCTGCCCAGAGATGTGTGGGACCAGACTGCACACCTGCCCCGGCCTACAGCGCCCCTTCACCCCACCTGTGTGATCGGAGGTCCTGGGGGGACTTCCCTCCCTCCCTGGGGCCAGCCCAGGCGGTGCCAGGAGCGGGGCTCACCTCCGGCCTGCCTCGGCGTCCCGGTAGTCCTCGATGGCCAGCCGCAGCTTGCGCCGGTGCAGGGAGCTGCACACGCCCAGGCCCAGCTCCAGGTCCTCGTCGCTCAGGCTCAGCAGCACCTGCGCCCCAGAAGGTGGGCACTGAGCGCCCGGGAGGCTTGGGGCACCTGAGGCCTCCCAGGACCCGTGTCGGCCAGGGCTGAGCCCCAGAGGGGTCTGCTGGCTGGGGCTCCCTCTCCCCATCTCCCTGCCCACCTTCCCTGCGGTCAGGACAGAGCACCTCTGCAGACCCTCTAAAGCACCCCCACAGCCTGCCTGGAGCCCCCCTGAAGCCCCCCTGGAACACTCCTGAAGTCCCCCTGGAACACCCCTGAACACCCCTTGCAGCCTACCTAGAGCTCCCCTGCAGCACCCCTGCAGCTGCCTGGAGCACCTCTGCAGCCCGCCTGGAGCACCCCCTGGAGCACCCCCACAGCCTGCCTGGAACCCCCTAAAGCCCCCCTGGAACATCCCTAAAGCCCCACCTGGAACACCCCCTCCAGCCTACCTAGAGCACCCCTGCAGCCCACCTGGAGCACCCCTGGGGCACCCCTGCAGCACCTCTCAGGCTGGGGCTCCAGGAGGTGGGCAGATCACCATCCAGGCCGAAAGAGCCCTCCCGTGGAGCCCTGCCTCCCTTCAGCCAGGTAAAGGGAGGCTCGTCCCGGTTTAAAGGTGAGGAGGCTGAGCTCAGGAGGGCAGTGACTTGCTGGGGAGACTGAGGGTTTATTGGGAACACTGGTGCCTGCACCAGATCAGTCGACTTCTGGGTTACATCTCCTCCTCGCCCTGAGGGTGGGGGTGGGGCAGGCCAGCTCAGGGTTGGTAAAGCTCATGGGAGGGCCCCGGGGGGATTCTCACTGGGGTCCTGGGGGTGCCCTACCTTCCCGCTCTTCACGTTCTCCGCGCAGGCCTTGACGTACATGGGCATGGCCATGACCACCTCCAGCCAGGCCTGCACGGCGCCCGCCTTCCAGTGGGACATGGGGGTGGTCCTGACCAGCTCCACCTGCTGCAGCCGGTCCACCTGCTCCTCGCCCTCCGACAGGCTGAGGCTCTGCCTCGTGGGGCTGCACTGGCTGTCCGAGTCTGCAACACACGAGCGCAGGCTGGGGAGGACACACACATGCCTGGGCTCCCAATGCACACAGGCCCTGCTGGGGAGGGAGTCCGGGGGGGCCGCGGGGGGCAGGGACGGGCAGGCTGCACCCCCTGAGCCTGCATTCCCCCTGCAGGAGGAGGGCAGGGATGTCTTCCCCCCAAGCATTTCTTCTTTTAAAAATCAAAATGGCCCGGCTGGCGTGGCTCAGTGGTTGAGCGTTGACCTATGAACTAGGAGGTCATGGTTCGATTCCCGGTCAGGGCACAGGCCCGGGTTTCGGGCTCAATCCCCAGTGTGGGGCGTGCAGGAGGCAGCCGGTCAATGATTCTCTCTCATCACTGATGTTTCTATATCCCTCTCCCTTTCCCTTCCTCTCTGCAATCAATAAAAACATACTTTAAAAAACCCCAAAATGGCCTTTGTTTTGTTTTTGCCACCACTCCCCCATTACACAAAGAAAAGAATTTTTAAAACTTAATCCAGAAAAGAATACAAATAAAACAAGGTGGAAATGGGCCCCAAACCCCGCACCCTCAGGCAGCAGCTGTTAGTATTTAGCGAAGCGCACGTTGGGAGACACACAAGCCCAGGCTACAACACACGCAGACCCACGCACTGCACCCCGAGTCCGTCCCGTGACACGCGGTTCTCACGGCACCCCTGCACCCGGGAGCAGCCTGCACTATCTTCCGACCGCACAGGCCTCTGGGATGGCCGCTTGACCTTTATTTCACTCGCCGCCTGCGATGGGCCCCGTTCTGTCCCCATGTTTCACTATCTTGGGCAGCAGGTCACCTTGGGCAGCTGGGTGATTTATCTTCTCAGGACAAAGCGAAGCCAGTTTCTGGAGCGGCCCTCGCAGACAATAAGTCTGTTCGCCAGCAAGTTCCAACCCTGTTCTTCATTGGTGGCCACCGCGTCCACACCTGACGCTTTTTGGCTACACCCTGAATGCAGCTGTGGCTGCCTCGGTCCCCCTGCCTTCCTGGGAGGAGTGTGGCTTGAGTTTGGCTCCGTGCCTGGGGAGGGAACCCAGTCCCAGGCCTTGAGCATCCTACCTGGGCAGGAATTCGCTGCCCCAGCCAGACTCCCGCTGGGTCCGGGTGGGCAGGGCTGCTGTCGAGAGGTAAGGGTGGGCTTGTGTGTTGGGTGCCAAGGTGTTTGCAGTGCCTGGCTCGGTCTCCCCAAGGGAGGGAGGTAAGGGGCCGTGGGAAGGGGGAGACTGGGAGAAGACAGGCAGCAGGAGTCAGAGAGAGACAGAAATGGAGAGAGAGGGAGGGAGGGGAAGAGAGACTCCAAGAGCAAGTCTTCAGGAGAGAAATCCTGCCATAGAAACAGCAAATACAAAAAGACAGCAGGAAGGAGGAGAGAGCGCATGAGGGTGGAGAGGGCCTGGCGGACCCATGGACAGACAAGAACCCAACGCACTTCCTGCGAGTGCGCGTCCCTGGGCCGCGTGTCTTTGGGAGCCGGTGCTGGTGGTTCTGACTAAGGGGCCTCGGGCCCCGAGAGGAGCTGGCTCCGCACTCACGTTATTGATGGACTCCAGGCTCCAGGAATGCGGAGGCCACGCGGAGTTCATAGGAGCAAAGCACACGTTTCGGTTTCTGAACAAAGACCGCCCTTCAGCGTGCCACCTCCCTCCGCCCACCCCCGGGGATGAACTCCAAGGAGGAGATGCTGCCGCCGGTGTGAGGAGGGGTGTCTTTGGGGTCAGACACCATGAATTAAAGGCAATTTCCAGATGCTGGCATTAGAGGGCCAGGTTTTATGGCCGGGATCCCATCAGTCCTGGCTTTTATTTCCCCTCTGTCTCAGCCCTGAGGGGGAATCACTCATGGTTATAGCCAGGCAGCTCCGTGAGCGCTGAGGATCTAGAGGCCTGGCTGGGCCCGGGCAGCGTCTCAGGAGGGGCGGCCAGGAGGCAGCCACTCTGGATGTTGCGGAACACGAAGAGGCGGGATACGGTGAGACTGTGGAGGAGAGACTGCCTTCTCCCGCCCACCCCAACACAGGCACGAGGGCACCCCAGATTGTCAGCAGTTAGGGAGGGTTCCCCCAGCTGCGCCCATGGAGCAGGGTGTCAGCCTGGCTCAGGCACTGGCACACTATGGCCTGTGGACCACATTCAGCCCGCAGCCTGCCTGTCTCCATTTAAGGTGACTGGGGCACGGCCTCACCTATTTGCCACACGTGGTCTAAGGCTGCTCTCCTGCTGCAATGGGAGTGTGAGTAGTTGTGACAGATTGTCTGTCCAAAATCCTAAAATAGTTACTGTCTGGCCTGTGATAGAACATCCTTTACAGAAACCTCGAGGCTCTGAGGTTGGCGTTGGAATATGAGAGACCTGGGTTTGGGAAAGTGTTTCTGATGTCCTCAGCCTCACTTTCCACATCTGGGAAATGGGATGATAATGATGTCGATTCACACAGGCCTATGTGAGGGCCAGATGAGAGGCTGTATGAAGTATACACAATGCTCAGCCTGGCGCCTGGCAGACAATGGGTGTCTGGCATACAGTGATGGCCTGGGGTCTCTGACCTCTGCAGGCTCATGGCACTTACAGTCGAGACTGGCTTTGTCCAGAAGAGCAGCTACAAGCCCCGTGTGGCTACTGAGCCCCGGTAATGTGGCTCGTCCACGTTCAAAGGGCCGGTGGTGTACAGCAACACTAGACTTTGAAGGCTGTGTACAAAGCGATGTAAACTATGTTATTAATTTTTATGATCACATATTAAAATGATAATATGTTGGGTCTGTGGGTTAAATAAAAGATATTACTAAAATTCATTTCACCTGTTTTTTTACTTTTTAATATGGCCACTACAGAATCTAAAATTGCATGTGTGGCCTGCATGATGTTTTTACTGGCCTGGGTGGGTCTGGGTGGAAGGTTTTTTGTTTGTTTTCTCATCTCATTCCCACCCCCTCAGTGGGTTTGGAGGTGAAGCGCCTGCTTCTCTGTTTTGGGTTCAGTTGTCCTGGACATGCGGCCCCTAGGTAGCAGCAGCAGCAGCAGCAGCAGCACCTGGGAAGCTGTTAGGAGTGAAAACCCCTGGAGCCTGCCCAGGCCTCCTGACACGGAGACACTGGGGTTGGGCCCAGCAACAATCTGTGTCTTAATGAACAAGCCCCTCAGGTGCTTCTGATACATGCGGAGGTCCTGAGCCACACTTTAATGCTTGCCCTTGAGAACTTATCCTGAATATTTAACTTGAAACAGCATTGATCAATGCCCTTGAGAACTTATCCTGAATATTTAACTTGAAACCTAGCATTGATCAATATCTTTTTTTTAAAAATATACTTTTATTGATTTCAGAGAGGAAGGGAGAGGGAGAGATGGAAACATCAATGATGTGAGAGAATCATTGATTGGCTGCCTCCTACAAAGCCCCCCCACTGAGGACCGAGCCTACAACCCGGGCATGTACCCTTGATTGGAATTGAACCTGGGACCCTTCAGTCCCCAGGCCAATTGTTCTATCCACTGAGCCAAACCGGCTAGGGCTGATCAGTATCTTAACACCTTCTCTTAAAATGTAAGATTATTAAAAACATTCATTCTGATCACGTCTCTTGACTAAACCCTACCCTATCCAGTATTTGAATTATGTCCTTTTAAAATCCCCCACAATTGAGACATTGTCATGATTATTTTATACTGATAATATTAAATATCAAAATAATGTATCTACAGGTTTACCAATTTCTGTTCTTTATTTCTTCTTGTGGCTTAGACATTACTTCTAGGATAATGAAGAACCTGATTTAAAAGTTCCTCTGGCCCAGCTGTTGTGGCTCAGTGGTTGAGCATCGACCTATGCACCAGGACCGTGGTTGGCAAACTGTGGCTTGTGAGCCACATGTGGCTTTTTGGCCCCTTGAGTGTGGCTCTTCCTAAGCCTTAGGAGTACCCTAATTAAGTTAATAACAATGTACCTACCTATATAGTTTAAGTTTAAAAAAAATTGGCTCTCAAAAGAAATTTCAATCATTGTACTGTTGATATTTGGCTCTGTTGACCTATGAGTTTGCCGAACACTGCACCAGGAGGTCATGGTTTGATTCCCAGTCAGGACACATGCCCAGGTTGCAGGCTCCATCCCCAGGGTGGGACATGCAGGAGGCAGCCAATCAACGATTCTCTCTCATCATTGATGTTTCTATCGCTTTCTCCCTCTTCCTTCCTCTCTGAAATCAATAAAAACATATATATCTTAAAAAGTTCCTCTGATTAAGAGTAACTTCGGTTTATCTGAAAAAAGTCCATTTCACCCTGTTCTTCAGAGCGTTTTGCTGGGTACACGGTTTTAGGTTGACGGCTATTTTCCTTCCGTGCTTTGAGGACATTGCTCCACTTTCTGCTGCCTTCCATTTTGCTGGAGAGAAGTCAGCTGCCAGTCCCATTGCTCTTCTGTTAGTTACTTTTAAGGTTTTCTCTTTGTCTCTAATGTTCTTCAGTTTCTTTAGGATGCAGCTGGATGTGGATTTCTCTTTAGTTATTCTGGTTGATAGAAACTTCCCATATCTGTGGCTTCATTTTTGGAATATTCTCGACCATTATCTCTTAAAATATCACCTCTTCTCCATTCTCTGTTTCCTTCTGGGACTGGACTTTGTCTTCCCTTTCTTGTAACCTAGCACTGTCCAGAAGAACTTCCTGTGATGAGGGGAAAGTTGTGTAATCTACAATGTGCAATGTGACAGCTGTCAGCCATATGTGGCTATAAGCTCTTAAAATGTAGGTGGTGCAACTGAAGAACCGAGTTTTAAATTTTATTTAATTTTAATTAACACAAATTTACGTTTACTTTGCCATCTGTGGCTAGTGGGCTATTGTAGTGAACCAGAAAGCTCTCATTTCTCCTTCAGAGTTTTTAACAACTTATCTTCCAGCGTTGCATTCTGGGTAATTTCCTGTTTTTTTCATTCTAAAAATCTCTCCAGCTATTTGTCTGCTATTTAACCCATCCTTGG